TACTTCCTACAGCCACCAGGATAGAAGTAACATTAAGGTCCATGTTACCAACATATCGACTCGTACAGCGACGATACAGCCGAGGGCTTTGCTGTGTGAGCTGCAGCTTGTTACGACAGAAGACAGTTCTGAGATGGACGACAAAGAAAATTCTGAGGATGCCCTCGACAAGATTGAGGTCAACACAGACAGACTGTCTGATGAGGAAGAAGCCCGAGGGAGAGCACTTCTAGAGCGGTATCGTTCGATCTTTGCCACAAGCGACGTTGACTTAGGTCATACTGATGTTATTAGACACCGAATAGACCTCCATGATGTCACGCCATTTAGACAGAGACACCGCCGTATTCCGCCATCGATGTTGGAAGAAGTCAGGAGTCACCTTCATCAGCTTCTGGCAGCGGGTGTCATCCAGCGGTCACATTCACCATGGACACAGAACGTTGTGCTGGTTAGAAAGAAGAATGGTGCCCTTAGGCTATGCGTTGACTACAGACAGCTTAACCAGAGAACAGTCAAAGACGCCTACGCCCTCCCGAGAATCGACGAGACACTAGACTCCTTAGCAGGAAATCGATTCTTTTCTGTCCTGGATCTCAAATCTGGATATCATCAGGTAGAAATCCATGAAGACCACAAGGAACGGACGGCCTTCACTGTCGGACCACTCGGTTTCTATGAATATACGAGGATGCCGTTTGGACTCGCAAACGCGCCCGCCACGTACCAGCGTCTTATGAAGGAGTGCCTGCACGGTCTTCATACACAGATATGTTTTGTCTATATTGACAACATTATTGTCTTCGCACCATCTTTTGATGAACATCTGTCTAGATTGGACCAGGTTTTCGAAAGACTCAAGAGTCATGGCCTCAAGCTGTCGCCGGAAAAGTGCTTGTTATTTAAGCCCAAGGTAACCTACGTAGGTCACGTCGTGTCGGAAGACGGGATTGAGCCTGATCCGTCAAAGATTGAGCGCGTCGTCAACTGGCCGACATCTGAGACACCAGAAGACGTGAGGAAGTTCCTCGGATTTGTTGGGTATTACCGGCGATTTATAAGGAACTTCTCGAGAATTGCAAGACCTCTTACCATCTTAATGCCAGCTCCGAAGAAGCCAAAAGGAAAGAAGACAACCAAGAAGTCTGCAAGGTCTGGTGAGGAGACAGTTCAGCGGAAGTGGACCTGGGGTGAGGAACAGGAGCAAGCCTTTACCAAGCTGTTTGACTCAACCTCCCATCCTAGGTTATCCCGACTTCAAGAAGCCTTTCTGCACACCGACGCTTCAGGTTCCGGACTTGGCGCAGTACTCTACCAGGAACAGAACGAAATGAAACGGGTGATTGCATATGCCAGTCGGGGTCTATCCAGGTCAGAACAGCGGTACCCAGCTCATAAGTTGGAGTTCCTGGCGCTCAAGTGGGCTGTCACAGAGAAATTTAGCGACTATCTCTACGGTCACCAGTTCACCGCTGTAACAGACAACAACCCACTGACGTATGTACTCACCTCAGCGAAGCTCGACGCAACCTCTCAACGTTGGGTAGCAGCTTTAGCCGCTTACGATTTTGAGATCATCTATCGTCCTGGTATTAACAACATTGACGCCGACTCCATGTCAAGACTTCCAAACCTTGAGTGCGAAACAGAGAACAACCAGACCGTTCCTCGCGAAGTCATTAGAGCTCTTGGATATGCCCTCCAGCCTAAGCCTTTGGTGGAGAATGTTTCCATGTCGCAGAACATTCTTGACGACATCAACTGGAAACCAGATAGTGGAGAGATTCTTGACGTAGCTAAGGAGCAGAAGAAAGATGCGGATTTGGCAGTATGGATCCCCTTCGTCGAGGCCGGATCGAAACCCCGGAAGGAGGATGTACCAAGATCTCGCATACATACCAGTTTTAGAACTAACTTTGACAGGCTCTGCATAGAAGATGGCACTCTCTACCGGAAGTCAACAGTAGATGGCGAAGAGAGAAAACAGTTGGTGTTACCAAGAGTCTACGTACCATTAGCACTTAAGATGGTACACGACAAGATGGGACATCTCGGCCGTGACAGAGTTATATCTCTCCTGCAAGATCGGTTCTACTGGCCTGGCATGACTAAAGACGTAGAAGAGTGGATCAAAGTTTGTGGACCATGCACTCTCAGGAAGACATCTACGAAGTGCTGTGCGCCACTCGTCAGTATTCCATCAAGCCAGCCGTTGGAACTCGTCTGTATGGATTTTCTGTGCCTTGAAACATCTAAAGGAGGTTACAGTAACATACTAGTCATAACAGACCATTTCACCAAGTATGCCATAGCAGTTCCGACCAAGAACACGACTGCAAAGACTACAGCTGACGCCTTTCTGCAGAACTTCGTTGTTCATTACGGACTACCCTCCAGAATCCATACAGACCAGGGCCCCAACTTCGAGAGCCAGCTTATTAAAGAGATGTGTGCAACAACAGGCATCGTGAAGTCTCACACCACACCATATCACCCGATGGGAAATGGACTTTGCGAGCGTTTCAACAGAACCCTCCTTAATATGCTCGGCACTCTGGAGAACGAACAGAAGAAGAGCTGGAAGGCGCACCTATCTTCTCTGGTCCACGCATACAACTCAACCCGCCAAGATTCCACTGGTCAGTCGCCATACTACCTAATGTTTGGCAGGAATCCTCGACTTCCGGTTGACCTAGCTTTTGGCATTGACATCGGCCAATACCATGATGATTTGACTTCCTATGTCGACGACTTGAGGAAAAGACTGAAGCGAGCATATGAAATCGCCTCTGCAAACGTCTCAAAGAATCAGTCTCGACAGAAAGGACATTATGACAAGAAGATCAGAGGAGCTACAGTTAACATCGGTGATCGTGTTTTGGTAAAGAAAGTCTCCTTCGATGGCAGACACAAGCTTTCGAACAAGTGGGAGACCGATCCTTGCACGGTTATCGATCAGCCAGACAGAAACATTCCTGTTTTCGTCGTTAGAAAGGAAAATGGAGAGGGCAGGGACAGAACCCTTCATAGGAACCTCCTCCTCCCGATCAACTACATCAGCGGCGTAGATGAGAGGCCTGTGCCTGTACCACGCCCAAGGAAAACACGCTTGAGAAAAAGGATTGAGCGGCAGCAATCGAGTTCTTCCTCTAGTGAAGACGAGGACGACGTTTTGGTGGGTAATGGTGTAATCACAGACACCACAGCCGGCACCACCAATACGACGCTCGATGACATTGGCGCATCTGATTCTGCTGACGATGTCGTTGAAGATGAGTCTACGCAGAACGCAGATGATGAGGCAGCTGCTGATAACGCCGAGTCGGACGGTAATGAAGACACTGGAAGTATTGCCCACTCGAGCTACGGCGAAAATACCATAGGAGAAGACACCACGGAGGGATCTCAAGTTGTGCCTCCACGCCCACAACGAAATAGAATACCTCCTAGATGGACCCAGACAGGAGATTACGTCTTCTCTCAGCAACCTGCGGAACCAGACTGGATAGCCCGCGCCCGCTACCTTGAAAGGCTCTACGATTCAGGTATCTTTAGGGGCAGGGATGCGGATGTGTCCAGCACTTTGTTGGATATTGTGTCTGGCAATTTAAATACCAATAAATAGTATCGGTATTTTGATCCAAGAAGTTTAATTACGATAAATATAGTAGTAGTTAATGTTGGGACGACATTTTTTCAAAACAGGGGGAGTATGTGGCAGGATCTATAATTTTAATATTTGTATTGAATTGTCTCAGTATTGTATTAGTCTTATTTATTAGTTTCGTTTATACTGTATGCGTCTAAGTGTTTAGCCTAGTTTTCGTCTGCTTATATCGTATCGTTTGGTCATTGGTCAGTTTTGTCTTTGTCTTACGTCACAATCTTGTGTCTTATTTTATTGGCTCTTGTCCATTTCGCGCTTTTTTGTTTGTTCCGGTCATTGTCTGACTGGACAGTGAGGTGACCAGAGAAATTGTAAAGTCGTGCGAGTGAATATCTGCAAACCTCATGTATAACTACCCGCTCACCTGTACGATGCCGGTCATATTTACAAGACAAGATTTCCCCTATAACTCTGTGCCATACACAGAGTTAATCTCTTGTCACCTGCAATAAAAAACCAGGTTAATGGTTGAGAACTTACGAAGGTGTTGTTGTGGTATTTTGCCCATAACCGACCCTGTAACATTAGCAAAGAGAGTACTGGGTGTAATGATCTATAGTAGTTGTAATCTCGTAAGAGTTATCTCTCTTAGATCCTCTCCTGTATTGGTTATATGACAGCCTCGTTCTGAAAAAATAAATAAAAACATGGAGCTGAGAAGAAACGTGTTGTTTAGTCTATCGCTGAAACGTCTAAGCAAAGCATGGTGTCAGACAGCGGGATACTGATGGAAATATGGGTATTTGGTAAGGCAACATATCCAACCAGATATCGGCGGAATGAATATTGTATGTCATATCGCTTAACTCGTCAATAACTGTCGAATCGATGACATCTAGTGTGCGCTGTATAAAACATGTGCTACCCGCCAGAAACCAAAACCCTCTACCCAGACCGGTAAAATACCGAAATACAGGCAAATAGACATTATCAGCCCAATCCAACATAATGGAACATATCCGCCCACCCCCAGAATTAGACTTTTCGGCGTCTGAGGGAAATCTCCCAGGAAAATGGGAACAATCCATGCGACTATATTTAGATATAGCGATGTCAAATAAATCTGAAAAGGAAAAATGTAGTGCATTCCTATACATAATAGGACAAGACGGAAGGGAAATTTACAACACTTTCACATTCACAGAGGAAGAAAAAGACAAAATTGAAGTTTTAATAAACAAATTTAAATCTTACTGTGCCCCGAGGGAAAACATAACTGTGGCGACACAGATTCTACACACGTACACAAGGTAAAACAGAAACTATTGATGAATACGTGACCGAACTACGCATTATTGCAAAAAACTGTAAATTTGGTACACTGGAAGATGAAATGTTACGCAATCGTATTGTCTGTGGTGTATTTTCAGAAAAGGTAAAAGAACGACTTTTGAGAGACAATCAACTCACACTTGAAAGGGCCGTAACTGCTTGCAGAGCCAGTGAGGAGTCACAACAAATGTTAAAAAATCTAAACACAGAAGAAGTCAACGCGGTACACAAAAATCATCGTGATAAACAAAACAGACCCCCCAAGGAACATTATACAAATAGACCAACACATAGTGCAAGGGGAGGTAACAAGAAACAGTCAGTCAGGGGAGACAACTCCAACCACAGCAAACAACATGTAAAACAAAAACTATTTCAGTGTGGACGTTGTGGCACTAAACACGGATATCGGAAATGTCCAGCATTTGGTCAAATATGTGATAAATGTAAGGGAATGAATCATTTCGCTCGACAGTGTAAAACTAAAGTGGTACACGCGAATGAGGCAGTGGACATGGAAGGATTCGAAGACTTGTTCATTGGTGCAGTACATAATCACAAAACAGAGGTTGGAACTAATGAAGCTTTCGCAAATCTCAACATCAATGGAACAAATGTCAGGTTCAAATTAGACACGGGCTCCCAGGCCAACATTATATCGGACAAGTTGTTCAACTGTCTAAATGTAGAACCAAAAACCAAATTATCGGACACGGCAACGCGACTATCGAGCTACACTGGCAACAAAATACCCATAAAGGGGAAGTGTAGGCTCCAATGCCTAAATGAAAACGTTGAATTCTACGTTGCAAGGGAAGACACAGTCCCATTACTTGGATTCAAATCATGTCAAGACCTTGGGCTAGTAAAAGTGGTCATGATGACTGAAAAGGTTACTGAGCCGTCAGTGGATAAACAGGACCCTACTAGCAAGTTTCTGGAAATATTTAAAGGATTAGGTTGCCTTAAGGAGCCATACACCATCAAAGTTGACAAAAGTGTAACACCGGTTGTAAACCCACCACGTAAAATCCCTGCAAATCTACGCGACAAATTAAAAATCACACTCAACGAAATGGAGAAAAATGGTGTCGTGAGAAAGGTTGATGAACCCACTGACTGGGTCAGCTCCATAGTGCTAGTGGAAAAGCCCAAGTCAGGCAAGTTAAGAGTGTGCCTCGACCCGAGGAATTTGAACAAGGCCATAAAGCGTGAACATTTTGAGTTACCAACAATTGAAGATATCACAACGCGAATGTCAGGTGCTAAAATCTTTACTAAGCTCGATGCCAACAGTGGTTATTGGCAAATCCCTCTAGATGAGCCTAGCCAACTCTTGACAACCTTTAATACACCTTTCGGCAGGTACTGTTACCTACGCATGCCGTTTGGCATAAAGAGTGCGCAAGAAGTTTTTCAGAAGCGTATAGCACAACATTTCGATGACATTGAAGGTGTCGAAGTGGACATAGACGACATACTTGTGTTCGGAAAGGATAACGCGGAGCACGATGCTCGTCTCGATCGTGTGTTGCGGAGGTGCGAACAGATAAATCTCACCTTGAACAAGGACAAATGCAGGTTCAGCGAAAATGAGGTCACATATATAGGTCACAGACTGTCTGCCGCTGGTGTAAAACCAGATCCAGAAAAACTGAGTGCAATTACTGAGTGCAATTACTGAGATGCCCCGACCAGTTGACAAAAAAGGAGTAGAGAGACTACTTGGAACTGTCAATTACTTAGCCAAGTTCATACCAAACATGTCAACCATCACACAGCCGATTCGAGAGTTGCTCAGAAAGGATGTCGCATTTCAGTGGAACAAAAGTCAGGATGACGCTTTCAAGCAAATACTAGGCATATTGTCAAAAGAGCCAGTACTAGCATTTTATGACCCAAGATTACCAACCACCGTAAGTGCAGATGCATCAAAATACGGATTAGGTGCTGTAATTCTACAGAGGAATAAGCCCATAGCATTTGCCTCTAGAGCAATGACTGACACAGAGTCAAGATATGCACAAATAGAGAAGGAACTTCTTGCAGTTACCTTTGCTTTAGAACGCTTCAACAACTACACCTGTGGATCGCAGGCACTAACTGTAGAAAGTGATCACAAGCCGTTGGAAGCCATACTAAAGAAACCCCTATCTCAAGCGCCACCTAGGTTACAGAGAATGCTTCTACGTCTACAACGCTATGATTTCACTCTAATCTACAGGCCAGGCAAGGAATTAGTAGTAGCGGACACACTTTCTCGTGCATATCTTCCCAACAAGGATGGGAACATGGATGAAGAACTCAATTGTCATGTACACACTGTTTTGAACAGTCTACCTGTCTCTGTCAATAAAATGGATCAAATTCGCACTCGAACAGACGAGGATGAACAACTCAGTCAAGTTAAGGCATTGATAAAGAATGGCTGGCCAGAAAATAAAAATGTTCTAACAAAAAACCTACAAGAGTTTTGGAAACTTAGAAATGAACTAACTATCAACGAAGGCATAGTGCTCAAAGGAGAAAGGATAGTAATTCCGGAAAGTCTCCAAGATGAAATACTGTCAGATCTTCATGTAGGTCACTTTGGTATAGAAAAAACCAAACTCAGAGCCAGAAGTATTGTTTATTGGCATGGCATGAACACTGATATTGCTGACATGATATCAAGGTGTAGTACCTGTATGGATATGAGGAACAACAATCAGAAAGGACCTTTGAAGCCAACACCTGTACCAAGTGGACCGTGGCAAGTTGTGGGAACCGACTTATTCTCATGGAACCAGTCAGACTTCCTGATAGTCACTGATTACTATTCCCGATACTTTGAGGTAGCAAAGTTGGAGAACACTAAAAGTGTAACAGTAATAACACACCTGAAATCTATCTTTGCACGACATGGAATACCGTTTGAAGTGAGGAGCGACAATGGTCCACAATATTCCTCATCCGAATTCAAAACATTTGCGACAAAGTGGAAGTTTAAACACACAACATCAAGTCCCTATTTTGCTCAAGCGAACGGCTTAGCAGAGAAATCTGTACAAACCATGAAACGCATCCTTGAGAAAACCAACGCTAACGGGCAAGATCCGTATCTTGCTCTACTCGAGTACAGGAACTCGCCTACGGATACAGAATCACCAGCACAACTACTCATGAGCAGAGAGCTTAGATCTGTGCTACCAGTTACCCAACTTAAACTTCAACCACGTGTAGTGTCTTCAGAACACGTTCAGAAAACCAGACAGAAATCGCAGCAAAAGCAGAAAAAATATTTCGATATTGGAGCCAAACGCCTGTCGGAATTAAATGACGGAGATAAGATTCGTTTTAAACACAGAGGACAATGGACTCCAGGAAACATTTATAATCACTCTGAATACCCGAGGTCCTACACAGTAGTGACACCTGATGGTGAGAAGTTTCGTCGAAATCGTCGAGACATCATTCAGTCACGAGAGGAAACATTCAGGAGAAACACAGAGGACATTCCTGATTTCATGGAGCAAGAATCAACTACGAAACCTAGTGACACGCCAACGCATAAGGCGACAGCACTAGCAATGCCCACCGGAAACTCTCCGAGTATGAAGACAAAATACGGCAGAAGTGTGAAACTGCCAGCACGATTCAAAGATTATGAGATGTGAAGTGCACAGGGGCAGAATAATCCCCTTTTTAATGTTAGGTCTCAGGCAGGACAGTCTATCCTGATCCTGGTAGTTATGCTTGATAAAATTCATCAGTAAAGAGTTCAAAATCAAAACTATTTTTGGTCCATTATCTTCTGGTGAATTTGGTCACTCATAATTGCAAAATTATCACATTTTATTTGTTGCTTGTGTTCCATATATAATTCTCAATCAAGAGGGTTGGATATACACTATTACTTAGAAACTGTGACAATATTATAAACAACAAAGAAATATTAAGTTTCAGACATGTATCAACATGCAGTTTAATTTCGAGCTATTTTGTTTCAGTATGGTCAATTAACCACAAAATACAAGTTACATATGTATCATATGCTCCCTCCAATGACAATTGAACTTTTAAAGATAAAATACCTATTTTCAAAAGGGGAGTTGTAATGATCTATAGTAGTTGTAATCTCGTAAGAGTTATCTCTCTTAGATCCTCTCCTGTATTGGTTATATGACAGCCTCGTTCTGAAAAAATAAATAAAAACATGGAGCTGAGAAGAAACGTGTTGTTTAGTCTATCGCTGAAACGTCTAAGCAAAGCACTGGGTACGTTCAAGATGAACGAAAGGCAGAGGAGATTCATTGAAGCTCCTGGTGGTGCCGAGAACTCGTACCTACTCAAGAAAGTTATTGGAGATGCTAAAAAGTACAGGAAAGAGCTATGTCCCAGAAAACAGGCCCATATCGGCCCCATGTGGGCTTGGCTGGGGAATATCGTTATCGGCTTACCCACATCCAGCCGACGTCGGCCCGTTGACAAATACAGTAGTTGTGAGCATCTGCTCCATCAGCACCGATGACGGGCCGATATTGCCAGACTCGCTACTTAAAAGTATATTAATTTGTTTGCTTTACGTTGCTTTTGGATACCTATCGGATGAATTGGACGAGTTTAAGGACCTTTAGAATGCTGAAGCCCAGATTGTGAAGGTAACTGAAGTTAATGCCTAAATTTATATGGTAAATTCTAATTTTGAAAATTGATTTTGTGCTGCTATAATTCTTTAAATCCGGAGGGTTTTTTTTATAATAGATCTATACATGATCCACCAGCGATAAGTTTGTTTCTTCGTTTAATTGTAATACAGTATAGAACGATATATATATTGTAGTTTTCACAACTTAAACCAAAAATTTCTTCCGTAGAAACGTCCATAAAGATGACTCAGCATGTACATATTTAACACAAAATCACCACAGCGTCATCCCATGCGCTAAACTATCTCGTCACGTGTTATGAGAGTCCAGCGTGTGAAGCCTTATCAAAACTCACGAGTTTACGAAACAAAAGCACATATCTAGACTGCAAGTGATAGAACAATTGATAGGCACTATTTTGAAAATCTATTGTTCGTTATCCAGAGTATACAGTGTTGTTGGTAAGTCCGTCGATACTTGATCAAAGTCAAAAGAGCGGAAGAGTTTGTTTGTGTGATATTTTCGAAAGTTTCCTAACTTCCTCAACCCGACCCGAAAGTAATTACTGATATTCGTCAAACACAAATGTCTTTGTAATGCAAGAAGACATGGTTCGAGATCTTGATTAAGCTTTGTGTATAATATTACTGGGTGTTGAGGTGAAGTTCCGCCACTGAGTGTGTTCTACACTGTATGTGATGTTTTCTTTGTGAGATCTATATTTAGAACACGTGTTGTTACCGGTACGAAAATTGTAGGTAATATTCCTGTATTCTAGCCTGTCCATATATACATGTACCTGGGCCGAGACAATTATAGCCGAGTTATTTGAAGGAAATTATGCATAAGCCATTCTTTTTAATTGAAAATGAAAAATAAATAGATTTAGCCAGAATCTTTTGATTTATTGTCTTTATCTTATTATCTTTCATTACATACTTATGGGCCTAACGAATGTCATTCAAAATCAAATAGATAGGCCTGTATGTTCTAGGCCTACATTTTTTCTAAAACTTGATATTTTTGTAGATCTCTAGTATGGTCTAACATATGTATATGATTTAACTTTTTGTGATATTGAGGAGGAAACTAGGCCTAGCCTATTTTTTCTTCTCTGTCTCTCTTTGTTATAAACTTAAGTACAAAGGATTTCGCTTGCATATATAAAATGCACTAAGTAAAGGCATGTGTATGTGTAATTAAAAAATCATTAGAATACATACCCTGATACATGTATTCATTTTCAAAAAAAAAAAAAAAAAAAAACTCGGTCTCAGAGATGATTGTTTTTCAGATTGTTTCATTTCATTCTTAATGTTTCAGAATAACATTTGAATTTTTTTCATTGATAAATTTGTAATGAGCTTCTGTTATACATGTACCTGTATAATGTATATATCAATTAAAACAAGGCGTCTAATTCATATTGGAAGTCATATAGGAGAGTTCGATCAAATGTCAATGGACATTTGGCCTACATTTATAACAGATCATGCTACTCCTGATAATTCTATTAAATATGCTGAGATGTCTGTTGCAAATTCACACTCCAGCAATGTATCAGCTCCCAGGGTGTCTCCAGATAATTTCATTGGGGGTACTCTAATGACATGCTTTCAGATGATCAAGATATGTCAGAAAACACTGTGTGTAGCCACACTCCTTCAGAGTCTGCTGTCATGGAAAAAATGCATGATGGAAATGATCAATGTTGCGAAAGTTTGGCGTATGATCAAATTACTTATGATCCTGACACATGCTCAGGTAACGTGTCTGATAACCCGGTCAAAGATTCTGAATCCGAAAGGGAACATTCTGAAGAAGATGAGTTAAGAATATGGGCATCAAGGTTTAATGTATCACATGTGGCATTAAGAGATTTACTGCATTTATTACACAACCATCATCCATTTTTACCAGAAGATCCCAGGTCACTGCTCAAAACACCATCAAAATACAACGTTAAACATCGGTGGGGGTACGGGAATGTATGATCATTTTGGAGTATCAACAGGTGTGAAATATGAATCGCAAAACAATTCAAGTATTCCTTCGG